ACTTGGCAAATACTTGTCAGACAAATGATGAGTATTTCTTTATGAATGTAAAACTCACGCTTGTTCCCACAATGTTTTGTCCCTCCTATTTGTCAAAGCTCAATATAAAGAATCAAAAGCACAGGCAGGACTTTAAAAGAGGCATTCGGTCTCCTTCTCCAGGTAGGCTTCTCCCAGAGATGACTCTGATGCTCACATCGGTTTCAAGTAAATCCCATCTTTTAGAGACATGGCTGGAGGATGATGGGCCTCACTACATTTTTTTTTTTTTTTTAAGATTGGCACCTGAGCTAACAACTGTTGCCAATCTTTTTTTTTTTTTTTTCTGCTTTATCTCCCCCAGTACATAGTTGTATATCTTAGTTGCAGGTCCTTCTAGTTGTGGGATGTGGGACGCCGCCTCAGTGTGGCCTGACGAGCGGTGCCATGTCCGCACCCAGGATCCGAACCCTGGGCCGCCACACAGGAGCACGTGAACTTAACAACTCGGCCACGGAGCCGGCCCCCTCACTACATTTTTAATTACAGAGACAAGACATATGTCCAACTGACACAGTAAGGGGGTCCCGCAGCGAGTCCGCTCCGCTTGGCAGGGCTTGATGGCCGGCACTAAATCCTTCCAAAGGCTTCAGCTTCGTTTGGCCTCCTTTGGCGCCGGGAGACTTTACACAGTCCACGTTTTCCACATGTAAAGGTAATTAAGTAAGGGAGAGCGAGCTGCTATACGTGACATTTAATTTTCCACAGTGGGGGAAGGTGCGACGAGCTGCAGGCAAGATTGCCCGTCTCCTCGGATCCCGCACAGCCAAACGCAGCAATGCACCCCACCTGTCACACAGCTTTCCTCCTGTTCTTCAACTGGCGTGCTGGCATAGAGAGGATGATGTCGAACACAAAAAGCCAGAGAACGGAATCTGCGGTATGTGGTCAGAGCCTAGACAGCCATACACATCTGGATGACCCAGAGTGGAACAGTGTCGTTTATCCAAGTCCATGAGTGCCACAGGGCACCATTACACAATTACAGGACTGTCCAAAATCTAATGATGTGGGAAAAAACGGGGACATGTGATTATGTAAGTCATGTACACATGGCAGCAACCTGCTAATTTTCACCAATGACTCCAGACCCCTTGTGACTTATAGATCAATTAGTCTGTGAGTAAATACAAGTGTTAAACAAATATGACAAGGACGTGGTCACACACACGCATACGTCACCATAGACAGAGGCCCTGTTCACTCAGACACTGCCTGTGGCGTATTTTAACAGCTTTCTGCAATTACTGTACTGCTGATCACACTCCCAGACTGCGGCCAGTTCCCATTTTTATCTCAATTGTCAGTAAGTTTGAAAAAGAGCTGCCAAGGTATAAAAGCCAAAAATTTCTGTACAATGGAACTGCACAGAGCAACAATAATTTCAACTAAGGAAGGAAATATTGTCAAATGGAAGCAGTACCTGCAAAGAAATACAATTTACAAAAGTCAAGTTTTAAAGTAACGTTATATAACACAAACAAGTCAGGCAGTTTTAAAGAGAAGTACAATTACATCTGTCTGATGAGATGATTTAAGTGTTAACTTCCTAAAACTCGGTAACAAATTGATATTTAATTGCTTCAGGATTTGGTTCCCAAATAGGCAGAATCAGGGTTCTTGTAACAAAGGTCTGAAGGAGGTAATACATAAGCAGAGGCTGAAAGATGCACCGAAATGAGCAATAGGCCAGACAGTCAGCCTGAAAGAGAGAGGAGGGCAGGCTGCATCGCACCTGAACGCACACCTGAGCAGGATGCCAACCCACACAAGGCAGAACTGATGAGCAGCAACGTATTTCCTCTTTTGATTTCCTTAAGTGCTTTAAATTCTGACACTGTTTGATATCACTTGCCTCAGTTAAATCTATTACACTATATTTTATGGACATGGGATTAGTTTGTGTTAATTAGACTTCTCCTTGTACATCCCTCAATTAAACAGCGTTCTACTCCTCGTTAGACTATCAGGTCATCATTAAAAAAGCAGCAGCAGCAGCTGCTGACAGAACTAAAAGAGATGTTTCAGGCAGGCTGTGCCCATGTCTCTTATTGAACATTTACCAGAAATGGTTTTACACAATGTCCGTAGCTATCTCTTCCAGCTTTTAATCATTATGATGTTAATTAAAGCATTCTTAAACGGTAAATGTGCTTCACTTAAAAAGCATTCGAGATTCTGGAGTTAGATGAAGTATATATGAGGGAAGAGTTCTTCTTTTTCCTCTTCTTTCCTTCTCCCTGACTTCTTTCCTTTTCCTTTACCTCGCTTCTCTACCCACCTTTCAACGTTTTTCTACCATCTTCATCATCATCATCTTCTTCATCATCATCACTCTAGCAGTGAATTGTTGAGCCCATACTGCTAGGCAATTTATATGTGTTAATACATGAGACAACTGATGAGATAGCTATGTTATCCCCATTTTACAGGTCAGGAAACTGACCCAGCTGACATACCTGGGGTAGTGAAGAGCTGGATTCCAAGCCCAGGCAGGGCGAACCCAGAGTTCCTTCTTTTAATCACTAAATCTTAGAGTTTAGTCATGCTTTAGACAGGAATTCATCATTCAGGCAAGAGTTCTCAGTCAGACAAATAGCTCCTTTTCTTACAGAAACTGAAGCATTAATTAATTAATTAATTAATAAAATGTTGGCACATAGATAACCAGATATACATCTACCGACTCAAAGAAAGGTGTCAGCATCTCTCTCGATTCAATTTAAGCTCGTTTTCCTTCACACAGTCTAGACAGGACTATGACAGTAGATTGTTCAGAATCACACCCACATCTTTTTTCTCCTATAAAAGAAGACACAGAAAATCTTCCTAACTTAGACTATTTGGGAAAGCAGCAGGGAAAGGGACTAAAGCATGAGGCATTTTGTAGAATAATGAGTTATAGACTACGTGCATTTTTAAATCCACAAAATAAGTCAAACTAACTTACTTTGATAGTTGCCTTTGGAGAATAAATAATCTAGACTTGCTTGGTAGGAGCTGAAAGGGACTTTATCCTGTAAAGCTTTCTGAATGTTCACTATGTGCTAGGCAGCATAATCCAGTGACCACGCAGAAAAGGCGCATACTCAGGTTATATATTTTGAATGTACATTAATACTTCTAAATTGCTTAAAGCTGCATCCAGTAGGTCAGTGCTCAGCAGCATCCTCAGCTTGCTCACACTATTAATTCACTCAACAACTTCTTTCCTTGATCCTGATCTCTTCTGAACAATCAAAATTGAAATCATCATACACAAAATTAAAGGGGCTTTATTACTGTCATTAAAACGCTACTCAGCCTACTTGTCTGTATTCTAAATAATTTCAAATCATTTAACCTTTCTTTTTTGAAGGAAGGTCCTATTTCCTAACTACTTAATTGCATTAAATGATTTCCTTTGGATACTATTCCATGTTCTTTTTACTCTCTTTAAACGGGACGGCCCAGGGGCCAGCCCCGTGGCCAAGCGGTTAAGTTTGCACACTCTGTTTCAGTGGCCCAGGGTTTGCTGGTTTGGATCCCGGGCACGGGGACATGGCACCGTTCATCAGGCCATGCTGAGGCGGCATCCCACATAGCACAACCAGAAGGACCTATAACCAGAATATACAGCTACGTACTGGGGGCTTTGGGGAGAAGAAGAAGAAAAAAACATAAATAAAAAAGGAAGATTGGCAACAGATGATAGCTCAGGTGCCAAGCTCTAAAAAATAAATAAATAAATAAATAATAAAATGAGATGGCCCAGCATGGGTGATGCAGGCCCACAAACACAGCAGATGTCCCTTCCTCAAGTCTGTTCCTGTTTTCATCATCTAACTGGAATGTTGCGACCTCTGGCAGCAGGAAGGGCAGAGAAACCCCGAAAGCCGGTCGGTGTCTGGTCGAGGGCTTCAGGAGAGTGAGCCAGAGGGGCTGTCTCAGCAGGAAGAGACGTGAGCAGGGGAAGGCTTCCCTCTCTAAAAGCAGGAGTGACACTGGAAAGCTAGAGCGCGCTCCCGAGTGGAAGGAAAAGGTGCCAGTGGGATTTCTTCAGGAGCAGGAATATTTCATCACCTGCCTCAGTGCCCACGTCTGGGAACAAAACTACCCCTGAACCCCGTGGCCCCCGGGAACGCACAGCCTCACTGACAGCTAAGGAACGAGAAGAGGAAGAATAATGATGACCACCACTGTCACTAAACACCAGCCGACACCCTTTCAGCCGTCACTCTGTGCCAGACATTGTGCTGAGCATTTCAAATTCTGAAATATCACAAGAATGAGGTACTTGCTTTATTATCCCCATTTTACAGATGATAAGTGAGGCCCAGAGGGAAAAGAAGCAGAGCCACAGCTAACACACAGGGTTAGTTACATCACTTAAAATAATTCACTATTTCACTAGTCCATTAACAGAAAATAAAGCCTCACTCCATTGCTGATGTGGCGACGACGGCCACCAACAAGGACTCCCAGCCCTGAGTCACTTCTGCAAAGGGCTCCTTCAGCTGGCAGGTGAGGGATGGGGACAGAGGGGCCCAGACACACACAGAGGGCTCCACCTCCTCCACTCCGGATTTCTCAGTGCCCTCAATACGAAGCTCCTGAAACTTCCCTGAGTTCTGTTGTCCTGCCTGTTCTTTGGTGAAGATGTCAATGAGTCAGCAAATGCACCCAACGATGGTGACAGGAGGAGGACAACCTACATGGTTCTATTCTATTTATAGACAGGGTAATCAGATCAAGAAGGGAAGAATTTTCTTAAATTGAAGTACAAATGCCAGCCTCAACTACTAATTCTATCATGTGAAACGTAAATAACAGGGAAACCTCATAATCAAACAATCCATCCTTCACTTAGTTACAGTTACAAAAGGAAAACATATTTTTAGAATACAGTCATTTGGTTACACAAATAATAAAATCTCCAGGAGAGATCTTAGATTTTAGGAAACCAGATGTATCTATCTCACCTGATGAAGACCAGCTTGACCTTTGACGGGGCAGTCTTAATAATGGCAGACGCATTTTGGTGACTTCTTCCATACAGGATCTGATTGTTGATCTGATGGGGAAAAAATAAAATGCACTTGTAAAATGCAAAAGGTACATTTATACATGTACACAAGTTTGTACGTACATCTTTGGAATTCAAGAGTGAAGTCATTTCTAAGGGGGCACATGCAAGACTAATGCTAAAAATCTTTATATCCTTTGTATTATAGAGTCAAACACTAATTCTAAACAGCTATTACAATCTCTTAAGTTTAGTTTTGAGTGTAGTTAATAAAGAACAGACAGCCTGTGACCCTTTTCTAAACTTCAAGAGAGCAGTGGTTGAGCTGGATGCAGAAAGTTTATGATGGATACTCCATGTCCTACAACTTAGCCAGATTCCTACACAATGTAGGAAACAGACCACACTCAGATGCCCACAGAGCTCTGCAGGGCCCGTTCACCAGACTCTGTAAACGCGTCAAGGTGATTACATAGCATGCATTTTGTTACCACAGAGGAGGTAAATACTATGTCCCCATTTTAAGTCAAATTTTTGATCAATTACACAGAAAGATTTTCCCATACACAATCAATGAGCCACCTGATTTTATTCAAGATGTGGTGGGGTTTTTAACTTGACTGAATTCACCTGAATATTGTCTAAAAATATTTACATTCTAAACTTTTTCACTCCAGATTTTTCCATTGATATGGCTATCATGATGGCCATAATCAACCTTTATTTTATTTCATCCTATTGAGAACAGCTGGCAGAGTTTGCCCCCCCATCTCTTTCATAAGTAGTTAATGATCTATCCTAGTGTCCCTATTTAACTGAGGCCCTGATAATTTCTACCATTTAAGGGATAGTACAGTATACTATATAAGGGATAGAAAAAGGGATTAAAGGATATGGTTTTTGTTTGTTTGTTTTTGATGAGGAAGATTGGCCCTGAGCTAACATCTGTGCCAATCTCCGTCTTTTTTTTTCATACGTGGGACGCCGCCACAGCATGGGGCTTGATGAGTGGTGTGTAGGTCTACACCCAGGATCTGAACCCACGAACCCCAGGCTGCTGAGGCAGAGTGTGCAAACTTAACCGCTGGGCTGCACTGGGCTGGCCCCGGATTTATGCTTTTTGTAATGAGCATCTAATTTGTCCTTAAGGTCTCTGAAATTGTGCATTTGAAGACACCTCTGAAAAAGGCATCATTTTTGTCATCACAGCTGTAATGAAAAAGCGTACGGAAGCGAAGAGTTCAAAGGATGGAATGAACATACAATATTGTGAACCGTCTACATGAAGCTGCTCCAGCACCTTGAAGTGGCAGAGCCCCGACTCACACCCGAGGCCACGGCAAAGACCACACTCGAGCTGCCTCCTCACTATGCCTCTCCTACCGGCCCTCATTCTTCACCAACACAACCACTCACACAGAAATCCACTGATCTTCCACGCTGTCATTTCTCTGTGCCTCAGTTTCCTCTTCTCTAAAAGGAACCTAAGCACCTACTTCATAAAACTGTTGTGAGAATTAAATAAGACAATGCCCCTAAGTATTTTTGAGTAATAAAATTTGATACACAAAATATCTTTAATTTCTGTGTGTTCAAAACTACCCAGCATCCCATATACAAAATAGAGGAAGCCTGGCTCAGGGTTAATCTTCCTCACCAAAGAAAGTAAATAGATAAAAAATAAAGTATTCAGAGAAAAAAAACATGCCCACCCTCTAGATTATATATTTTCTCCTAATACTTTCATGAGGTTTTTTCCCTTATGTTTACATTTTCTTATCTAACTTATAAGGGTATGTAAATCACAGAGTCATTCAGAGTAATGTGGAAAAGCTGACTTAATGACATAGGAAATGTCCAAAATGTATCACGCGGCAAAACCTGGTAATAAAATATTATGTCTAGCATAACCATATTTTTCAATCTCTTTAATTTACAATGAACTACAAATAAAGATCTTTAAATCCCAATTTTGGAGTGAGATGATGCGTGGAATATGCTGGATTCAATGCCTGGCATTAGGTAATTATTCACGAATGTCTCCCCCGCGGTTCCTGGCTTCTGCGTTCAGAAAGTCTTTCTAAACCACAACCCGTCAAACCTTCCTGTCTTTGAATTCTATGGTATTAGCTTTATAAAATTTCTCTTTCTGCACGTACACCTCACCCGACATGGCAAAGGCGGTCCTCGCTGGGTGTGAGCATCAGTGCACACGCATTTTCTGAGCTGAGCTGAACTTCCGAGGGCAGGAGCCAGTGTCCCCTGCACCCCCAGATGCTCAGGCACAGCCTGCACACAGTGGCACTCAACGAAGATACCGAATCACAGGGCGCTGGATGGAAGTGGCACTTCCATTAATAACTGCTAGCGCGCTTTCTCAGAGGTGGGCTCCAACCTCAAAGTGACCAAGATTAAAGAAAAATGCTTTTTTTTTTGTATTAGCAAAAGCTTGAGTGTATAGAAAATTGAGCTGTTTCATGTTTATTGAGATGCCTGCTTTTTAGCCATGATCCTCCATTTTGATAGAATAGACCACACAGTCCTACTATTCTGAGAGGGAAAAATTACAGCCCAAATGCAGAAAGCAGATCGTTAATTTTAATTTACTAAGAGTGAATCTGCAGCAATGCCTTCGGTGGCACCGTCTCTGAACAGGCAGAGGCTCTGGCAGCGGAAAGGTAGAGCAGTGCGTTGCCGTGGATGCTCTTCCAGAGCCAAGGACTGTGGGGTTTACTGCTACGGCAGCTGGCCCCCGCCAACGTTCAGAGGCCTCTGGAGAAAGTCCCCTCGCTCGCTGGAAAACTGGGAACAGAACAAGACCACAGGAAGGAGTGGAAGCTGCTTAACTGGATTAAATCTAAAAGGGAAAAGCACCTCTCGGGATGAAAAAAATCCAAGACGAAGCCTCTTTCCTGGCCTCAGACATGACACACGAGCAGCTGCTGGGCTTCAGCAGAGCTGCGTTTTCTCAGACCTTCTTTAATATGAAACAATTTCATTATTTACATGAAAGGTATATAGCTTCCCACGACATAAGCAGTTCTTGTATTTCTTTATCACTAAAGGAAACACACTCCAGAGAAAACTCAGTAAGTAATTAGAAAGAATATGACTCATTTTTTGCACAATTAACTTTACACCGTCACTTGTTCTATTTCCGAGAACCTGCTGCTCCCCGAGGGCACTGTTCTTTAAGCAACAGATGTAGGAGACCTTCTAAGTACGGCACAGGCGAAAGAGGAAGCCCTCTTCATCTCCTGGAAGTCTTTCAAGCTAATTCTAATTAATAATAGCTACATGTACCGAGTGCTTGCTCTGTGCCAGAGGCTCAGCGGAGCCCCCTCTGCACAGCGTCTCACTGAGATCTCAGAACAACGGGTGTCACGTACTTGCACCAGATGATGAGCCTCCAAGAGCTTGAGGAACGTGCCCAAGCTGATTCAGCTCTAGTTTAAAAGGTTGTAACGCTAAGGCGCACCCAGAGGTCACCTCAACTGTATGGTGTGCATAAAAGTCAGATGATCTCTAAAGGTCGTCTTTATAAAGATGTGTACTAAGTAAACTGAGCAGCCACAGCAGGATGCTACTCACCCACTCTCCTAGTTCCTGGAGTTTTGGGTTACAGACGTTAGAATTAAACACTTCCCCACAGCGCACAGAGGAAATGCCCCATTGTTGACTCTGCAGCTTTTTTTGTTTGGAGGAAGATTAGCCCTGAGCTAACATCCACTGCCAGTCCTCTTTTTGCTGAGGAAGACTGGCCCTGAGCTAACATCCATGCCCATCTTCCTCTATTTTATATGTGGGACACCTACCACAGCATGGCTTGCCAAGCAGTGCATAGGTCCACACCTGGGATCCGAACTGGCGAACCCTGGGCTACCCAAGCAGAGAGCACGAACTTAACTGCTGCACCACCGGGCTGGCTGACTGTGGGGCTTCTGAAGGCCCAAACGCACTATGGAGTCCCATAAGACCGTGCCTTTCTCTTTGTGCAAACTGCACCCCGAACAATAATATACACTTATTATACACTTTTTCATTGTACAAATATATATGGATTGACCACCCTTTTAATTTGTCTGACCCAAACCAAAGGAAAACAATCAAAATATTTCATTTTGGGGCAAACACTGCTCCCATCCTTTCAGAATATGAGTAATCATTCAGATTATCTAGAAACTGGACAAACATTATTATTTTCCATTTGCTTCCAGTAAACTGAGAAGTAGAGAAACTAAGTACCTTTCCCAAAGTTTCTCCTTTCAAAGGTGACTCGATATATGGAAAGAATAATAAATTCAGATATGTCCTTATCTTTGATCTTACCTTATAATGGCGGGAAGTCCTGATTTGGCATTTCCACTCCACCCAAATAATCTATTATCTTAAAATCTGAGATCTACAACTCTTCCGTTCAAGGGTAACCATATATCCTAATTCTTCTGGAGCAGTGCACTTTGTGCATGTTGTTCCAATTATTAGTAGTGCTCCCTCTCAAAAGTAACCCAGTTTGGATGATAAGTTATATCTTTATCCTACATTCATCAAGCCATGACTACGGGAAGTGTATTTCATGCCATTCCGTCTTGATTTCCACATCACTAAATGAGAAAGCCAGACCAGACAGGGGATGCAGTAGAGACTGGGGACCTTGGCCAGCACGCAACCACTTCTCTTTGCAAGGGATGGTCCTTTAAACCTTCCGGTCACAAATACCATCCATAATGATGGGCATCCAAGTTTATATCGCTAATTATGTCACTCCAGGCTGAAGCTGGAGGCTATATGATGCAGGCTGGGACATCCAGAGTCTCTCTTTTGGGGGTTTTCAGTGGTGGCTGAGACACAGGTAATGATTCTCTACATCTCTGAGCTTCTGTGAGATGGCCATACTCTGCCACACAGATGAAGGGGCAGGAAAAGCTGTCACTTCTCGAGGCCCCCACACATCCTGATCTTCAGGCTCCAGGAGGGACAGCCATACCATTCACCAAAGGGAGTGAACTCTCCTTTTTTTTGGTTAAATTACCTTGAACTAATTTCTG